AAAAAAAAATTCTTTTGGCCTTTTATCAATGAAAGTTTCAATATTCTTAAAACCTCTTCATAATAAGCTTCAGTGATTAGCCTGCAGCCCTCAAAAAACTCATCAATATTGCCTCTTTGGAATCCCAAAAACCAGTTGCCATAATCTTCTGAACTGGCTCCCTTCTGCCTTGACTTTTAACTGACTTACCAGATTCTCTCAAAAGACATTAAACTCAAAATGCCAAACCACTGCAGTGGAATTGATTCCAACTCAAAGAGACCCTATAATGGGTCTCTGAAACTGTAAATCATTATGGGATAATACAGCCTCATCTTTTTCCTGTGGAGCAGATGGTGGGTTTAAATCACAGGCAACCCAATGCCTAACCCACAGTGCACCAGATTTCTTTAAGACATGAGCAAAATCTAGAACACACTGGTACTGAGTCAATTTTTACTCACACTGATCCGATAGGACAAAGTAGAGCTGCTCCTGAGATTATTAGTCTTTATGGGAGCAGTCTCATTTTTCTCCCTTGGAGCAGCTAGTAGGATCGAACTGCTGATCACAGTTAGTAGGTTGTCACTTAACCACCCACTATGCCAGCCATTAAGGCTCATTAACTTTTAGACATCTAAAATTGTGGCTTTATTATTGTTGGCTGCTGTAGAGTCAGACCTTGATTGATGACTTCATGTACAACAGTACAAATTGCTGCTAGCTCCTGCACAATCTCCATGATTGGTTATGAATCAGATTCACTACTGGTTAGGAATCACTACTGTGATCCATAGGGTTTCATGGCAGACTGCCAGGTGTTTCTTCCTAATTTGTTTTTGTCTAGAACAGGGCTGGCAACGTCTGGCCCAAAGGCCATTTAAGGGCCGAGAAATCATTAATACAGCTAAGACTACATGCATCATCAATGAGAAATAGTTCCATTCATTACACAGGGGTGAGTTAGTTCAATGTTTGACCAGCATGGTCCATGAAAGATGTTACAAATATCCAAATGGCCTTGGCAGAAAAAGGTTCCCCACTCTTGGTCTAGAGGCTCTGCTAAAACCTATTCACCACAACAACATCCAAGCCTTCACTAACAGATGGGTAGTAACTGTGCATGAGGTGTATCGATCTGGAATTGAACCCATGAAAGGTGAGATTTTAACTCTAGACCACCACTCCCAGGGCAATATTTACCTGTGTCTTTGTCCTTGGCTTTATACACTTGGCCATAGGTTCCCTCTCCAATAATCCCAAGGATTTGAAACTTGTCTACACAGCGTTTCCCCCAGTCACTTTCTGTTTGTCTTCTTTCCCCATAACGAGGACAACAAATTCTAAAAAAGACAAAGAAAAACAACAAAAAGGCGACTTTAAAAGATTAAATCTATTGAAAGAAAAGTATGTTATAAATTTCACTGGTTTCTGCATTTTCTAAATTTCTTTATTAAAAAGGCAAAAAGGAGTTAAATGTTCTAAGACAGTTTACATAATGATTAAGTCACAGGAAGACCTACGATAAAATATATCCACTACTCGGTGACATGGTAAGACACCAAAAATCAGGTCTTTGAATGAGACATAATTTGAAAATGAAGGATGACCACTTCATTCTACAACTACCATATTTCATCATTACATAACTGTCAAACTACTGAGAATCATGGCCCAGACAAATAGATACATAAACTATAAACATATCCATCACAACAGCATTATGTAATTGTAAATGTGAAGTGTTGGATAACGAGAGTTCACAAGTAAGGAGTACACCTAAGATTTGTTGCTTACTTTCTTAATTTTTTTGGAATTATCTTATTGGGGGCTCTTATAGCTCTTATCACAATCCATACATATATCCTTATCTATTGTGTCATGCACATTTGTTGCCATCATCATTTTCAAAACATTTTCTTTCTACTTGAAACCTTGGTGTCAGCTCATTTTTTCCCTCCTTCCCTCTCTCCTCTACCCTCCCTCTCTCATGACCCTTGATAATTTATAAATTATTTTTTTCTGTTAACTTCTTAAGTATTAGTTTCTTCAATGATACGATGGAAAAACAATCCTTTATCACTGAGTTATTATTAAAATTAACTCCACATAATAGGGTTACCATTAAAATAAAATCTGCAAGGAAAATGTGCTTTAACTATGTGGTAGCTCCATATTTTATTATTAAGAAAGGTTGCTCAACCTTGGATCTCAGTACCTTTATAGCATAGCAATTTGTGTGCTTTAGAGAGAAAAAAAAAAGCAAACATCTATTATTCATTCATTAATGTGTACAAGGTTGACACACTCTGACTAAAAGGTGTTATCTTTCTTTAATGTTCCTAGCATTATGAACTCAAAAGAGACAAGTGGATGTTGGAAATTAGTCCTTTTCTAAAAAATAGCCAGGTCATCTATAGGTGCTTTTATCAGCTAAAATAAATGACAGCACCTTATTCCTATGATCTTCTTGGTGTAGACTGTGAACAAAAGTGTGAGGTTTAGGTCTAAATGTAAGGAAGAAAACTATAATTAAAGGTAAACCAAACCCACTACCATCAAGTCAATTTTAGATCATAGCAAACTTATAGGATAGAATATAGTCGCTTTGGGCTTGTAAGACTATAAATCTTTATAGAACAGAGTGGTTAGAGAGTTTAAACTGACGAGCTTGTGGATAGTAGTCCCACACATAGCTTTCTATATCTCTAGAGCTCCATGTAATTAAGGATAAATCAAACCCAACCTCACGGTCACTGAATTGATTCCAACTCATAGTGACCCCTATATATTAAGGACAGGCAACTCCAAATACTCACTTTGGTCTCTTTTTATATGGTTGCTGAGGTGGTGTGATTGCCTTTGGTTCTGGAGAGTCTGGGGGAGATGGATCCCCACCAGGGAGCTCAGGAGGAAGAGGGAGATCCATGAGTGAGTGTCGAGTCCTTTGTTCCTTCTCTTTCTTCATAGGTTTGGAAGGTAGAATTTCTTTTGGACTGAACAATGGAGAAAAAAAACAAGAAATTGTTCACAGGTTATAATCCCTAGTTAATAAAAGATTATAAATATTTTACTTTTAAGGGGAAAAAAACCTGTAATATTTTAGGAGGAAATGAAATTTATCACAGCTATATTTATTAATAGTCTTTAAAATTAACAATAACAATGTAAAATTTCCTCCCTAAGATTCTATTTGGATATTCACTGAGATGAAATGAAGGAAACAATCTAGAAGTCACAAAGTACACTGCAACTCATGTAGTTCATCAAATGTATTCACTAATTTTACAAAGACTTAAATGAATGGGAATTCAGTCATTTAACATTTATATCTTATCCAAAGACATGGAGAGAACATGGGGGGGGGGGGGGGGGGGGGAAATCAATGA